TCTGGACTTCTCGGACAGTACGAGGGCTTCGGATATCCAGGATTGCTTTTATCTGATCCGGGTTGGCTTCGATTCCCCGATGACTAACCAGATACCCGAGGAATTTTCCCGACTCCACTCCGAAGACGCACGTTTGCTGCATTTAGCTTCAACCCATACTCCCTGAGAGTGGAGAAGGTATCCGCCAAGTCTGTAAGATGATCACCACTCTACGTTTGCTTTTTACCAGCATGTCGTCTATGTAGACCTCCATGGTGTTGCCGATCTGCCTCTTGAACATCCGATTCATCAATCTTTGGTATGTTGCCCCGGCGTTCTTCAATCCAAATGGCATCACTTTATAACAATAAACTCCCTTCGGAGTGATAAACGCCGTTTTTTCTTGGTCCGGGGCATAAAGAGGGATCTGATGATATCCCGCTCGAGCATCCAGGAAGTCCATTCGTTCATATCCGGCTGTGGCATCTACCAGCTGGTCCACCTTCGGCAGGGGGTAGTCGTCCTTGGGACATGCCTTGTTTAGATCTGTGAAATCCACGCAGACACGCCATTTCCCCCCTTTCTTTTTTGCACATACTGTATTGGACAGCCATTCTGGGAACTGTATCTCTCGAATGGCGCCAGCTCTCAGGAGTTTGTCTATTCCTCATTGACCGCGTTGGCGTGATGCGGGGCCATACGTCGTGGCCTTTGCTTTACTGGCTTGTGAGATGGGTCAACATGCAGCCTGTGAGTAATTATTTCGGGGTCTACTCCTGTCATTTCCATTTCGTTCCAGGCGAACACGTCTGTATTCCCTCTTAAGAACCTGATCATCTCCTCCTGTTCTGCTGCGGGCATCGAGGTCCCAACTAGGAAATACTTCTCTTCCTCTCCTTCTACCAAGGGCACCTTCCGGAGATCTTCAACCGACCGCTCTGCTGGGTCTACCCGGGGGTCATCCATCCCCGGACGCCCGGACTGTAACTGTTATTTTTCTATGATCTCTTCCGGTGCTCGCCCCTTCTCCTGGCCGGACGCCCCGGCTCGGACGGCCGAGTAAAAACAGTTCTTCGCGGACGCTTGATCTCCCCGGATCTCCATGACGCCCTCTGGCGTGGCGAACTTCAACTTTTGGTGGAGAGTGGAGTGTACCGCTCCTAAAGCGTGTAGCCATGTTCGACCCATGATGACGTTGTAAGGGGAGTCCGTGTCGATCACCACAAACTCTGTGTCGATGACGAAGGGACCAGTGGCGACCGGTAATGTAATTTTCCCCACGGGCAAGGCGAAAGAGCCGTTGAACCCGATGAGGGGTGTCCTGATTTTGGTCAAGTCTTGGGGGCCAAAACCCATCCGCTTCAAAGTCTCGAAGTACATCACCTCCGAGGAACTCCCTGAATCAATCAAGATTCTCTTGACATCGAATTTCCCTATCTTCAGGGTCAAGACAAGGGCGTCGTTATGAGGAATCACCACGCCCGTCAAATCCGCGTCAGAGAACATAATGCCAAGCTCACCCATCCTGGCCCTTTTGCTTGATGGCCCCACACCTCCTTCGGCTACCTTTCTGGTAAAAACTACCCTCTTGAGGTCGGATTCGAGCTCTTTGGACGTGGGGCGCTCCAGTGGACACACATGGATGACGTCTATGACGTTATTTGGTTCTTCGGTCGGGGCATGAGCTCGTTTCTCTTCTGGCCTGGGCTCTATGTATTCTTTCAGATATCCATCTCGGACTAAGCCCTCCAAGAATGACTTGAACACCCTGCAGCTCTCGGTGCGATGCCCGACATCCCGGTGATATGAGCATCTTACTGTTTGATCACGGGTGGAGAGGTCGCTTTGCATCCTGGGCGGCCATTTGAAAAACGGTTCATGTTTGATTTTATGGAGCAACCTGTAGATGGGTTCCTTGAAGACGGTGTGAACTCCTCTGGACGAACCCCCTGGACGGGGTAGCAATCCCTTCCGGGGAATATCTTCGTGCTCTTTTTCCTTTCTCTTGGGTTGGAGGGCTCGGCCTTTGTTGCCCCCCATCTCGTCCTCGACCCTTGAGTACTTGTTGATTCGGGCCATCAGTTCCCCCATATCCGAGGGAGTCTTTTTGGTCAGGGATCTGTACAGGTCCGTGTCCCTGGCCAAGCCGAGCCGGAATGATGCTGCTGCCATGACCTCCGAGCATCCCTCGACCTCATTGACTTCTTCCCAGTATCGGATGGCGTACTGGCGAAGAGTCTCGGATTCCCTCCTCCTGAGGGTCAGCAGTGATCCAATGTCCTTTGGGCGCTTACTCCCCGTAATGAATCGGGTTAGGAACTGCCTTGTCAATTCTTTCCAGGACCCAATACTGTTTGGGGGAAGCGCCTCGAACCACCTCATCGCGGAGTCCCCCAAGCTCATAGGGAATACCCGGCATAGAAACCGTTGGTCCGAATGATAGAGGGACATCATCTGCTTATACTGTCTGATATGGGCGTCGGGATCAGATCGCCCGTCATAGGTCTTGAATCGTGGCACGATGAACTTTCTTGAGACGTCCATCTCGCTGATTTCCCTCGTGAAGGGTGTTTGCATGACTTCGTCCTCGGCCTCGTCCTGGATCATCTTGCCCTTTCTCCTGGAGTCTAATCGGGCTCTGAGATCTACTTCTTCCCTTGCGGGATGCCTCCTGAAGTCTCTGGGTTCGTCGGTAAGCCCCTCGTTTCCTGGGCGTCGTGTAGATTGGGTTGAGTCCTCCTCGGATTCATCTCCCTTCCTCCGTCTGGATAAACCTCGTCGGAGGTCGTCCAGGGCCAATGGCCTTGCTTTCCTGGAATGGTTGTCAAGATGGCATTCGCCGGCCTTGGGTCGCTTCGGGGCCCTGGAGCTTTCTGCTTTGTGATCCAGGTGGTTCCTTAGATCTTTTGTCTCCGCCTCATGGACGGGGAGTCCTCGGGAGAGGAATGAATCCCTCGATCCTCCGCCTGAGGCAGCAAACTCGTCGAGCCGGCTAAGGACGTTTACGTTGTCCTTCTCCAGCTGACGTAATCTATCGCCAAATTTCTCTTCAATCACCTCTGCCAGCTGGCGGGCCAAGGGGGCTGACCCTCCTGACCTGATCCCATACTGGTTTGAGGGGTTACCCCCCTTGACCGAGTAGAGGCACTTTTAATCGTACTGGTGCGATCCCTCCCTCCGTGATGGCAGGGAGCTTGCAACTCATGACTCCGTTGGTGGGTTCCCTTCCCTTTCTGTCTGGTGTTCACCATGGTCACTGTTCTTTTATAGAGAAAAGATTAGGAAAACTACTCGTTTCCCACAGACGGCGCCAGATTGTGCGGGCTTGATCCTGCACGATATATATAAAATATTGGGAACAGATCTCTCCCCTGGTGAACTTTGGGTGAGCCGGTTGAGTGGCCAAGCACACTGCTCGAAACAGCTTACGATCCTGGGAAAGGAGGAACGATCCTGTACGTGCGAAAGGTATTTCCTGGAACAAAGAGAACAGGTTAGAAGGGCGCCGGAGTGTTTTCCGGCGTATCCCCTCCGACGATCTAGTCAGTCTTTGAATGAGAGAGAGGAAGGAGAAAACGCTGAGAAGGATATTTCGTAGTTGAGAATTTGTGATTGCATACCGTTTGCCTTTTGGGAGGGGTATTTATACCTTAGAAGATCATGATTGCTGTCAGTGTGGTCAGTAGGTAATCATCAGGCACAGGTAGCGTGTGTAATCATTTGATGAGGAATGTCTTCTCCAATTGATTGCTCGGGGTCCCGAGCAATCAATGCTGAGTCTGTCGGGAAGCCGACGGTACAATATGCTCCTTTCGGGAAGGATGCAATAAATGCTCTGTAATAGGAGCATTTATTGCCTTTCATATCCGAACCTTACCGCATTGAATGCGGTCTCGTCAACAGAAGGGTGCAATTAATTGTTTGCTTTCCCAAGCCGCATGTCAGCTACAGCGTGCGGTTTGCCTGTTTTTGATGTGATATCATATGCCACGCGTCTGTCACGTATTGGCTAAGACTTCTGTGTTCCAGCATGTTCTGACATTACTTGTGTAAGAAGAGGTCATGATGAATAGTCCAGACTGGCATAGGCTGATGTCCCGTACGTCAGTAACTTTATCCAGGAGTAGGGGAAGCGTCCAGGGTGGAGTGACCCTCGGTGCCGAGGAAAGGCTCACCTCGGGGACCAAGGGGTGGTGTGTTCCCGAGGTACATGGTGACCGAGGACACATGTCTTTGTATAATGTACCGAATAGGTGATCCTATATGAGAGGAACCTCGGGGAGAGGACGCCTTGCCGATGGTGCTCGAACCCGAGCAACTTTGTTCTAAAAACCCCGAGGACACGTGTCTTCATCGTATGCTTTTCAGAAGAGTCCCATCAGGTTGAATTCTCCCAAGTAACCTCGCCGTCACAAGTTCCTAGTACGAAAATCTAATTAACATTTTTTTTTGTTATTAGGTGTTTAAATTTGTGCTGATTATTCTTCCAGCTCAATGACTAATTATCGTAACATGAACCGGTCTACATCATGTCCCTATTAGGGCAAAAGTGGCTAACTTTTAGATGTTGGTATGAGAAGGAATTGAACTTAAGATTTATGAGTTACCAAAAAAAATGTCCAACATCACATATTGACTTTGCACTAATCTTATAGTAACGAGTGTTTTGTGTATTGGTTACCATCAAGCAACAAATATACAAATTGGTCGGCCAACTCTAATCGATACAAATATACCCCTCTTGTACAATTTATGTGATAGATACACCATCACTTTTAATAAATCGGCATCTTACATCTTTAACCTAATCGGTGAAAAACGCAATAGTTTCGCTCTCCAAAATCGCAATGTCCATCGCAATCGGCATCGATTGAATTTGATCAAAATTAGTTGCTAAAAATTTTTTTTTGATCAAAATTGATTTGACTAATATCAAACAAATCTTATAAGAATATACATGTAGCTAGAGCTGCTAAGAACCACCTTTAACTGTCCTATCAGCTCCAACATGAGTTCACTAGAACACACAAACCAACCCAGGCCTCATACACGCCAAGGTCATCAAAACAGCCACCACAGACCATTCTCTCCACAACACCCTCATCACCCTCTACGCCAAATCAAACCTCCTCTCCGACGCCCTCAATCTCTTCCGCACAATCCCATCTCCCAATGTTGTCTCGTGGACTGCCCTCATCTCCGCATACTCCAACTCCCAACTCTCGCTCCTCCATTTTGTTTCTATGCTCCGCCACCCAACTCTTCCCAACCAACGTACCTTAGCTTCCCTCCTCAAGACTTGCGCTTCTTTACCCTCTCTCTGCTTTGGCCTCCAACTCCATTCTTTGTCAATCAAGCTTTCTCTATCAGCTCAACCCATTACTGCCTCTGCTCTAGTGAGTTTCTATTGTCAAACTCATTTTCCATATGAAGGATGTAAAGTGCTTGATGAAATGTCTGAAAGAGATGAGGTTTGTTATTCGACGGTAATTGGAGGTCTAGCTCAAAATGCGAAACCCATTGAGGCGTTGGAGTATTTTGCGAATATGAGGAGGTGTGATCTCCAGTCGAATATGTATAGTGTGTCAGGCGCGTTAAGTGCAGTGTCAGAGCTTGCGGCTTTGGAACAATGTAGGATAATTCATGAGCATGCTGTGGTTGTAGGGTTGGATTTGAATGTGATTGTGGGGAGTGCGTTGGTTGATGGGTATGGCAAGTGTGGGCTTGTGGTGGAGGCTAGAAGGGTGTTTGATGAATTAATGCCTTGGTTGAATTTAATTGGGTGGAATTCAATGATGGCAGGGTACGCACAGCAAGGAGATAAGAGTGCGGTTATAGAGCTTTTTGGATTAATGGAGGGTCGAGGGCTTGTACCAGATAAATATAGCTTTTTAGCTGTTTTGACTGTGTTTTACAATGCAGGTTTGGCTGAGGAGGTTGAGAGGTGGTTGACGACATGAAAGTGTATTATGGGTTGGAGCCATGGATTGAACATTATACTTGTTTGGTTGGTGCATTGGGAAGAGTTGGGAGGTTGGTGGATGCAGAGAAGATTGCTTTGGCAATGCCTTTTGAGCCTGATGCAGCAGTGTGGCGGGTGTTGTTGTCAACTTGTGCATACCATGGTGAGGCAGATATGGCCTAGAAGATGAGTAAGAGATTGTTGGAACTTGACCAAAATGATGACTCAGCTTATGTGATTGTTGCGAATGTGTTTGCGGCTGTGGGTAGGATGGACGAGGTCAAGGAAGTGAGGAAGTTGATGAAAGACAGGAAGGTGAGGAAGGAAGGTGGGCGTAGTTGGATTGAAGTGCATGGACAGGTCCACATCTTTTTGGCAGGGGATCGGACTCATGGCAGGACGGATGAAATTTATACCAAGTTAGCCGAGTTAATGGAGGAGATTGAGAAACTAGGGTATGTGCCAGTTTGGGATGAGATTTTGCATGAGGTGAAGGAACCCGAGAAGAGGGAAGCACTTTGGTATCACAGCGAGAAGTTGGCACTGACATATGGGGTGTTGAGCGGGGCAGCACCACCAGGGAAGGCTTTGAGGATAGTGAAGAATTTGAGGATTTGTAGGGACTGTCACGAGGCTTTCAAGTATTTTAGCAGGGTGGCGGAAAGGGAGATTCTTGTGAGGGATGTTAACAGATACCATAGATTCTTGGATGGTAGTTGTACCTGTGGAGATTATTGGTAGCAGTTAACAGATTATAAGTTTTTAGATGATAGTTGTAACTTGTACTTATGGAGATTTTTTATCATTTATGCGAAAGAAAGCGCAGTAATGCCTTTGATGCGGTGATAAGAAAGCATCAAGTTTGATTATGCACTTGGAGAGAAGTCAGAAGTGACACTTTTGAAACTTGCCCCACGTAATGGAGGTATAATATATTCCTCAAGTTGTTAATTTGTATAGACTCTTTTTTATGTGTTACACTACTCATGAGAGGGATCTATTCATAGCTTGTTGGTCATTTAGTATGTGAAAGTTACTTGAAGAAATAATGATCCAATTAACATAAATTTATTTTTGTAATGCTTTTAGATGAGGTGACTTTTCACAGGCTTCTGAAGCCCCTGTACCTCGTCCTTTTGGTTTTTTTGATTTTTTTTTTATGCCATTCTAGTTAATAGCCAACAAGCAAAACAGTTATGGCTCCCTTAAGATTGATACCTTTCTCATGTGCTTTAGTGTCCATTGAAAGCACGCATCGTTTACAAAGATTTTATAAATCTCTGGAGTGCCACAAATGGATTGCTTGCACAGGATGCTGAAAGAAAACTGCAAAAATTGGATTAGCAATGGCATGCACCTTATTTGCAGAGAGCTACATTCAAACCATCGATTGCAACAGTAGCCCCAAAGGTTTTTTTTTTTTTTTTTTCTTCTTTGAGTGTAAGGAAACTCTCCAAGGGGCACAGTGTATCCATTCCTGCAAAGTAAAGTCCGAATCCTTGTAATCGTTTAACACCAAGTATCGGTTAAACCTGGAAATTTGGAGGCACGAGCAAAAGTCGAACCCAAAATGCCCGAGTTTATGGTTTGCTCCAAGCTAACCTCACCACTGAGCTACCTTGTTTTGGTTAATAGGCTCAAAATTCACCCTGTGCAATGTGGTAATTGAATTAAGAGTTCTTATGTTGAATAAAAAAGGTGGCAGTTCATGATGAAGATTGCCAGAACAGTTATGGACACAAACACTTAGAAAGATTTCTTCATGTTTGGATTTACTGCTTCAGCTAGATAGTTGTAAATTTGCTTGTGAAGCCTCCTCAATCCTAAACCCCAGGACTACCTGAAAGGATGAAGCACATTGGAAGTAATTCAAAGATTCCATATCATTTTATGACACATGTCAAGGAGGAAGTTGTCTACCGGAAAAAAAAAAATAGTACGGTACTAACATTTATTATATTTATGAGTATTTTTATCACTGTTGTGCAAAAAACTCTTTTTTTATATGACAATAGCGGTTAAAATACTAACAAATGTGATAATTTTTTTTGCATCGAAAAAAAAGGTTAAAAATAGTTACCACAACAGATGTAAAAATACTCATAAAATAATAAATTTTTTTATTATAAAATAACTCACAAAAATTATAAAAATATCCATTAAAATAATAAATTTTAAAGGTAGGATATCAAATTTTTTTCAGATATCATAGTCAAGTCCGACAACGAGCTACAATGTTACATATCTCAAAGGAGGGTCTGCGATCGTGGCTCATTATCCGATGGCAGCAAAGCACTAATTCTCTGAATTATGTTCAAGTTGTGTGCTGTTAATGTTGAGCTAAGTTGAGAAAGTTATGGTACAAAAAAAAATTCGGTAATATATTGAAAAATTATTTGTGATCAGAGAAATTCAATTAGTTTATTTGTAACTATTTATCATGAAAAAAAATTCAAAGAAAATAAAATTACGGGCTTTTCACACTTTATATCTCGAAAGATGTCTCGATTCTCACTTTACACCTTAAAAGTTTATTGTTTTCAAATTATGCCTTGAAAGTCATAAATTAGTTTCAATAGGGCCCTCAAACTAACATCCGTTTTAAATTCCATTAAAAATTAGTGTACGAGTCTTGGGCAAAAATGTAAACTTATCATTCATTTGTTTTGGTGGCATGTACATCAATTTTAAACATAATTTGAAACGGATATTAGTCTGAGGGCTACATTAGAACTAATTTATGATATTCCGGGTGTAATGTAAAAAAAATAATTTTTTGGGGTGTAAAATATAAATCAAGACATCTTTCAGAATACAAAGTGCAAAACTTCCTAAAACTAATAAATAAAAAAACTTTACATACGTCACATGTTTTTTCATATAAATATTTCTTTTGATAGGTTTTGGGAAGATTTTACTTTCTTAAGATCAAAGGTTCAAGTTCCCTCTCCCAAAAAAAAAGGACAGAGATACTTTACATGGTTTTGACTTTAATAATTTAAGATTTAATTAATGAGAATTTTTATTTTTCAAAAATTTAGGAAACCAAATTTAAAATTTATATTGTAGTTACTCAAATGGTTTTGCCATGCTTCTCTAAATTTAGTAACTCATTAGTTAATTAATAAATTTTTTGAGGATTCAGCCCGCCGTTGAACTTAAAAGTCACATATTCGAACCTCATCAACCTCTCTCCATGTACAAAACTAATTAAAAAAAAAGTTAATTAATTTTTCCTCTCTAAATAGGGGGTGTCTTTGAAACAAGCAACTAATGGGTTACTTAATGAAATTGATTATATCATGTGTCTTTAAATATAATAATTCATGTATTAGATATTTCCATTTTAAAGTTTAGGAAATCAAATTAAAATTTGTGTTTAAATGTTGAAAATATAGATAAGAATAAAATAGACTATTTCAATGGTGTTTGGATCAAGTTAACAAGACCCGATCTTTATAGATATTTTAGTATTGGCCTGACACTAGTGTTGTATAATTAGTGATATTAAATGAGACATACTTAATATTAATGTGTAAAATGACTGAAATATATTTATAGGTTAAACAAATTATAAAGTTGGTATTAGAATAATTGACACTCAAATTTTCCAACTTTATATAAAACTAGTAATTGTTCGTGCCTGAAGGCATGACGTAACGAAAAATTAGATTAAAATTCGAAAAATACTACATTACCTAAAGATTTTTTGCAACCTAAAATAACTTACAATCAGACATAACAATTATCATAATTTACCATACCATCACAATAATTAATACATACTCAATCATCAACACATATCCAACCACCAAAACATCAAGCTAGTTCCTAATAATTTCAAAAAATTTCGGCAAAGTTTCCTTTAAAAATAGATCTCCAGAAAAATCTAAAACTGTCTACAAAACATACAATCATCATAATACACTATATCACCACAATCATCACTACATACCCAAACCACCAAAACAACCATCATTCCATACCCAAAATCATCATAACCATGTATAATTAGTTAACTTTACAAAAGACGGAACACAAAAAATACACACATGCACAAAATAGAGAAACAACTTCGTATTCTTTACAACTTACACCAAGTATTTTTCAATGTATACCTGAAAATATTTGAAATATAAAAATTATCGAAATATGTGAGTCAAAATAAAACAATAGTAAATCTGAAACATAAGACTCCTTACTTTTTTCGTTAGTTGAATTCAATATAATTAATTACATTACCCTGAATTATCTAAAAAACAAATGAACGCTCACATTTGTATGTAGTGGGAGGAGGGAATGACTTAGATTGATTTAAGTAAGAATTTAGAGAGATTGTAACAAATTATCAATTTATTTAAGAAAAGATATGGAGGAATGTAGAGACTTACAATCAAATAAGATTTTTTTAGTACCATTTTAACAAACAGTTCATTTGCTTAGTGATTTCAATCATAAATCTGTATTGGTGGCAGTATAATGGTGTGTGAGTTTGATTTGCGAGTATTTGATTGATTATAGTTATGTGTGTGTGTTTGTGCATGTATTGTGTGTGTTGTGTGTCTGCATGAGAAGTAGAGAAATATAGAGAGTCTTAGTAAGAGAAACTTTCACACTTAGACAATTGTTCGGTCAATAGTGGGTTAGTCATCATCAAAGGTGGACAAGTCAGTACTGGATTGCATATCATTTAACTCTCTTAAATGTCTTCTTCATCTCTTCATCACTATCCTTAATGTCCTCGTATCAATACGAATGCACTTTGCCCAATGAGGAGAATGCACATCCACCTAAATTATTCACATAAACAATAAAATTAACACAATATTTATATTGTAGGAATAATAAAGTTATTTTAATGTAGTTATATAAAGTAGATTTACCTGATTACGTCGGCCCCATCCACAAAGGTCCATTGTATATACTCTATCGTTCTCGTTGACAAATTCACTTCAATCCTGCAAAGAATGAACCTCATTGTAAAATTAAAAGTTGAAATGTTGAAAAGATTACATAATTCAGTAGAAATAAACTTGTTTAAACTATACTATTTACTTGTTGTAAGAATCTTATAACAAAACTTCTGGATAAACAATATTTGTAGTGCAATTCGACCCATCTTCCGGAAGAAGGACAGTAATACGATCCGAAGATGTGCATCTAGATAGTGCCACATAAAGGTATCCATGACTAAAAATAGGTGTCCGTAAATCAATCCCAACGAATTTGACAGATTGTCCTTGGGCTTTATTGATTGTCATAACATAAGTTAATCGAACAGGAAACTGACGTCTTGTCATTCGAAAAGACCAGTCCAAAGATGTTGGTGTCAATGATATTCTTGGAATGAAGACTAAATTGTCAATTTTATCTCCATTTAATATCTAAGCTTCGATTACCCTTAAGACACATCTAACAACCATCAATCGCGTGTCATTATAAAGTCCATCTTTCGGTGCAATATTTCGTAACAACATTATTGGACATCTAACTTTCAACTCCAATTTAAACGGTGGCAACCCTGAAGGATTCAACAAGTTTAAGTATTTATTAAGATATCGATTCCTAATGGTACGGTCAAGCTCAACACCTTCAGACATTTTATCTGCAGCTAAAAAAGTAATTGTCTTTCCCAAAGTAATATTCAGTGTTGCAGCATTTATATCACTGACGTTGTCATTGCGAGCAAATAGAATTTTACATTCGGTGAGAAAGATTGGACTCACTATACCAACCACATC